ACACACACACACACACACACACACACACACACACACACTACAGTGGGTATGTTTATAGAACAACCATCACATAATCTGATCATCAGGTTGGAAACTCATTTGCTCTGTTGCTTATTCACACACTCACACATTCACTCACTCTCTCTATTTATTTACTCCGAATTGATCTTTATTCCTTTAACTCTTAGATATAGACTCTGTTTCTTCCCACTATGTGAGCTCTATCTCTCCCTCTCCGCCATATAAATAACTATTTGTCCCGACTGGTTGAACATATTCTTCTGTTTTATCCCAATCTGATACCCATCCTGCCCCAGCACCTCCTCCATTCGGACCACCAGCATGGGGATTGTTTATAGCTCCATACTGTCCTCCAGTCCTGTACAGCTCTTCCGTTTCATTGGCCAGTTCGTCCTCTCCCAGAATGCCACACTTCTCCTCACTGGTATTCTCAGCATCCGCCCATGGCTGCTTCTCACCTGACGCAAAGATCCCTGAGAACATATTCAAATCCAGCATTTCAGGAGAGAAGTGACAGAAGTAATTTAGAATATTCATTATATGTGGAATAAAAAGAGATTTAACATGTTTGCATGTTGAAATTATGATTTGCTGAACACAACATACCATAAAAGATCACACCCCCATAATGCACCAGTGCTGCAATGAGGAAGACATACTGCCACTCTTCACGTGTCTACAGGCAAAAATAAATAAATCAAGCCAATTATCAACAATATAAACTATAGAAATCAATTATTTGACATGTGAAGGTTGTGTGGTATTAGTATGTACCTTATGTTTGGTCATGGCTCCAACTATGAGAGGACACACCATTCCTGACAAAGTTCCCACTCCATTGGAGATTCCCATCAAGATGCTGGCATAACGTGGAGCAATGTCAAGATGATTCACATTAAACCCTGAAAGGGAAAGAAAAATGTATTTTTCATACATGCACCTTAACAAGTATCTAAAACTGCACATTCATATCTTGCCTAAACTGCAACTTTGATTCTCACAATTGTGACCTTATATCTCACAATCACACTTTATTTCTTTTAATGTGACTTTAAATTTTGTAATTGTGACTTTGTCTCACAATGTTACTTCATATTTCACAAAGTCACTTTTATTTTTGATTTGATTCATTATCCTACAATTACTTTTATATAAAAAAATAAAAATAAAAAAAATAGGCTTCCATTGAATATATAGTACCTGAGAACTAAGGATAATATTTGGCCTCTATGGATGCAGCACAGTTATATACAGTACTGTTTGAGGTCAATAAGTTTTATTTTTCAAAAGTTTGGGGTCAATAATATATACATATATATTTTTAAAGAAATTAATACTTATACGCATAAGCAAAGATGCATTATATTAATCAGGAGCAACAGTAAAGACATTTACAATATTCTGAAAGATGTATAATCAAGAATCCTGAAACAAAAAGTATCATGTTTACACAAAAATATTAAGCAGCTGTTTTTAACATTGATAATAATAAGATAATGTTTCTTGAGCACCAAATCAGCATTTTGAAGGATCATGTGGCACTGATGGCTGGAGTAATGATGCTGAAAATTCACTTTATTTCATTCATTTTAGTTTAACATTTTTTAAATTGTAATAATATTTCACAATATTACTATTTTATTTGTATTTTTGATCACACATGAATGAGCATAAGAAATTAAAAACATGAAAAAATCTTATTGAGCCCAGATTTCTGAATGGTAGTGTGCACAAAAGCTAAGTGAATTCTTTAATGTGTTTTGTCTTAAATCTTTTCTTTTACTAACCTGAAATTGCAAATCCACTGAAACCAACCGCCAGTACAAGGAAAGAAATAGCTATGACTTTGGTATGTGAGAAACCAACAACCAAGAGTAGAGTGGCTTCCATTCCAAACCCTAAAACACACACAGACACACACAACAGTACAGTCTCTTGGATACAACATACAAGGTTTACTGTGGGTCAGAGTATACCTGTGCCGTCCATTTCCTGCATGCTCTGGTGCATCTGTCTCTGTGTTGTGCATGTTTGTATGTTGTGTGTGCAGACGATTGTGAGAGACTGAGTGTGTCATGCATTGATGCATCAGTGATTATTGCCCCAGCTGCCATTGCAGGACCAGACAAAGCAAAAATAGGCAGATAATCTGACTTACGTCTCACACACATATACAGTTTCTGACTCCGCACACGCTCTGTTGATTAAAACAAACTTTGTGTGCTTTTGACATTTATGACATTTATTAATGGGGAAGTTTACCCAAAAAATACAAATAAAATAAATAATTCTGCCATATTATGGGTATTTATTCAGGCTCATGTCATTCTGTTGGTCCTATGCTAGTGCTAAAAGGTAAACAAACAAAAAACATAAGGGTGAGTAAATAATGACAGATTTTTTTATTTTTGGGGTAAAATAAAAAATTATATATTTTTTCCCTTATCTACATCTTACCTCCACAGTTCATGAGTTTACGGACATTCGTTGTGGTCATTATATTATGTGTTCTCATGTAGTCAGCAAGTTGTCCTCCAATTGGCACGATAATGGTCATCACTAAATGAGGAAGTGC